TACCTAATAATCTGTATGTTAAAAATAATCATACAATCTTTTAATTTACAACCTAAATTAATTTGAGAAAATTCGAATTTATTAATTTTCAAATATAATAAAGAATCAGGTAGAATTTTAATAAAAGAAGATAAAACATCTTCATTAATACTTATGATGTTAAATTCATAAATAAATAATCTTTTCAAGTGGTTGCAATGTTCAAGGATCGGAAATAAAGCAATAAAATCTCTTTGTTCGGATATTGGAGTGGTTAAAGAGATAAGAGAAGGACAATTTTTTGATATTATATCAAATAATTTTATACATCGTTCTATATTTGTATGAATATCCAGATGAGTTAAATTATAACCATTATTTTGTATGATCCAAGCGATAAGGGAATTTGTTGAACTGTATTCCACATAATCTAAGGTTTTCAATTGAGGAAAGATTTTGTCATCAGACGTTATCGTTGAAGAAAGGTCATTGTTGAATATAAAATGTAATTGATAAAAGGCCAATTCACGTAAATGATCCCATTTTGACAAACATATAATCGCTTCATCATCGATCGTACATAAAATAAGTTTAAGTGTGGTTAAAGTAGAACTATGTTTTTGTAAAGAAAGGATTATCGGTGTAACATTTATATTATTGTAACCGATAAATGAGACGGATTGAAGAGAATGAAGTGAATTAATAAATCTAATTACAAGATCCAAATTTTCACCTTCATCAACACCTAACTCCTCGGGTATGATGAAGATTGATATGGTCGTGATCGTATCACGAACCAAATCTGATATTTTCGTAAATATTCTTGAATTGATGGATTGACAAAAATCAAAAGAATTTAGATTCGATAAGAATCTCTTGTTAATATCATCATTTTGTAAATATTTCTCTAATTGAAGACAAAGGGGTTGTGTATTTGAAATATTAATTATAGAGAGAGAATCGATTTGAGAATATTTAATCAATACTTGAAATAAAGATTCGAGTAAAAAATTAAAAAATACTTGAGGGTTTTTATCAAATTGAATAAAAGGACAACGAAAATTTGTATGATTTGTTATATAACGAAGATACTCCCACCCATTTAAACACTTGTATAAATAAAAATTAAGAAACATTGAAGGTGTTGATAATACATCATTTAATAAACTATTCACCCATTTATTTACCAACCCAACCAATTCCACGAAATTAATTCGCTCAATATATTTTGGATATTCAAATAAATTAGATGTATCCGGTATTTTTAGAGGATGAAGAGGAATTTTTAAATCACGTTGTAATCTTGGATGAAAGTTTAAAGTATCTTTTGGTATATAAAACTGTTTTGATAAAATTCTCAACTCTTTTTTACGTTCTTTATCAAGGAATGATAGTAATACTGGAATGATTTTATAGGTATTATGGGTATTTGAAGGATTGCTTGAAATATCAGTTAAATTTGATGATGTAATTGATGATTTTGATGATAAAGGAGTTTTCCATAGTCGAACCATGCCAATTCTACACCAATTACGATTAATTAAAGTGGTGGAATATAAAGTTTTGATATCATTTTCATCAATGTGTTTTAAAATGCATTCTACACATTCATTTGGTAAATACATTGAGGGTTTTAAAATTCCTTAAAAAAAATTTTTTTTTTTTTTTTTAAAAAAAGATAAAAAATTAAAAATTTTTAACGAATTTTTACCTTAAACATTTATATACCAAAATTTTGTTAATCGTTGACACAAAAAAAAAATTTGTGGCGTTTCGTTGTTTGACATGAGATTTTCATGATTATCGTTGAAATAGAAATTAGAATAGGGAAAAGATTTTATGGAGACACTGTGGTTTTAAAAAAAGTGGCTTAACCATTTTAACGATCAACCTTTAAAGGTATACAATAATTACAGTTTGATACGCCAAGAACCTAATAATGGGATAGCAAATAATGAAAATTTTCCCGCTACCTTAAAGATACCATAGAAAAGTGTGTTTATTTAAAGGTAATAAAGAATAGGGAAATGCGAAATGAAATTTTCGTTCCATTAACCTTCCGTAAGCAGCGTATGATAACGGTAGAATTATAGATCCTAACCACACGATATGAAGTCTTTGTTCGGGTCTACTTTACCATCAAGTTTCGTTTTAAATCTTGATAACATCTTACCCGTGATATGTCTTATTCCTGGGCTAATAAAACTTTCGATACACTCAATCCATATAATTTCTTGGTAATTAAATTACAGACAATAAAAACGATGTTTTTTCTTCATATACATTTCCCATCCAAGTGGCGATGTAGCGGTTCAAATACATGTATAGTCTCATATAAAGTTTATTATTTTCGCGATCGACATATTAAGCTATTAAAATTAGTTTTATAATAAACCTTCTATTACATTTGATATTTTTAACTAGAGATCCGAATCGTTCAATCCGTAGTCAAATCATCCGGATTTGACCAACTGATTACGATGATCGATTAGACGAAAATATTGACCGGTTAGTTGGTCATTTAATCGATTATCACCAACTATGAATGGATAACCGGATAATCGGATATTCAAATATTTTTGGATCCATTGTTTAATAAGCATGCAACATCTACATTTCATTTCAACTTCAAATTTTTTTTTTTTCATATTTTTTCGTTCAAATTTTTTTTACAAAATGAGTTTGATGCAAATTACAATGATGATGTTTCTTAAGAAGTAATTCCGAAAGTTTCATTTGACGATAGAGATTGGAACCGGTTAAAGCGGTTAACATGTTGGCCGGTTAATGATTTTTTTTTAACCGGTTAAAATAGATGAATTTAACTCCGGCCGAAATTCAATTTCCGGCAAGAATTAAGATTTTTATGATTGCAAAATATTTTCAACTCCAGCCAAATTTATAGTACTGGCGTAAGTTAATTTTAACCGGTTAACGAATATTTTTAACTGGTTATTAACCGGTTAAAGAATTTTGGCCTCTATTTGACGAAAATGTTAATATGGTTTCCTTCAGAAGAAATCTGATTATAGTGATTAGCATAAAATAATGGAATAATTAGTACAATATAATCTGTTATTATTGTTGATAATAAAGATAAGTTCAAAATATATATATTTTTTGTTTTAATTAATGTATTAACATTTTAGTTGTTTCAACTAATCGATTATTCGGATGATCTGGATAATTTGAATAATCGTCATTAATCAACGATTAATTTGAATAATAATCGATTATAAATTTTATGAACGATTGATTAATCGAATACAAAATTTTTGACCGATTCGGACCTCTATTTTTAACCTTTCACAACTTTGTATCCTTCTCATCATTTTTCATTCCGAATCTGCAAAAACATTCTCTAAATCACTGTCTCTTTCATGAAATAATTTGATTTTCTTAAAAATAACTTAAGCAAGCATATAGTAAGCTTTTTTAACTGCTTCTCTATAGGAAAAAATTTTTTTCTTGAGCAATTTAAAAAAAAGCGTTCTATTTTTATTTCCTTCAAGTTATTATGTGTTTTTGGTATTACTTAAAAGTTAGTTTCTCGATTTCGAATTTCTTAATGGTAAATGACTAAGCCCACCATTTGAAAAGAGCACGTGAAATACATGCTCAAAATTAATAAAATGAAAAATGAAAAAAAGAACAGAAAGACAATGTCTTCTTCATGCAGCAATTGAACAATTGTTGGAAACTGAAGTCAGCATTTACTAAACAAAATGCACTACTCCAAAGGTTCTTAAAAAGGATGAATAATATCACTATATTTGCAAAATAAAGCATTATCACTTATTGAAGAAACTTTTTATAAAGATCTATATTAGAAAGTTCGAGAGTTAGATCATAAAAATAAAAATGAGCAACTAATCTGTAAAACTCAATCTTTAGGATCAATAACATGAATTTAAAAGATCAAAAGAAACATCATATTTTAACAATTCACTTACTAATTCAAAAATATTACTAAATGTATTTAAAAAATATATTAAATTATTATTTAAAGAAAATAAGAAACAATTTTCAGCAAATACAATTTGAATAGCAATACAAATAACACAAATTGGATAGTTTTTTATGTAATCAGCAATAGAATGTATAAAGTTATTTTATAAATTTTTAATTGAAAAGTCATCTAAAATATAATTATTTTAGTTATATGATATAAAGATATCTTAACTTTTCAAATAGATTCACATCTTTTAGAAATAAAGAATGCTAATAGATATGGTATAATAATAAATGAATTAAAATATAATAAAATTAAAAAATTTTTAGTTTGTTTTATATTTTGAAGTATGATTCAAAATAAATTACTTTGTTTATTTTTATTATTTCTCTAATATTTGATAATTTTTCTATAATTCTATTAATCAAATTTTTATTTTTTTGATCAGCATGATTATTAAAGAATAATTTTATTTCTCATCCATATATTAGTAAAAAAAAGACATTATTTTAATAGTAAATTGTTGAATAGTTTGATATATAAATAATACAGAAACTATATGTAATCTCATTCAGTTTGTTCTTTAATAATTTTAACTAAGAAATTCTTTTAAGGTTTTATTAAACTTTTTAATATATTTATTTATTTATAAATAATATAATATAAAGTTATAATGCTTGATTTCAAATTTATCTATTAATTTTTTTATCATAGTATTATTAAAATATATATCTCAATCAGATAAAATTTTTATAAAACATCTGTATCTATAAATAATTTCTTCATAAACAAAAAGAATAACTTGATTAGCAGTAACTTCAACAATAGCTCTTACTTTTGTAAATATATCTATAACTACAATAATATATTTATTTTTTTAAGAAATTATAAGTAAAAATTTAATAAAGTCAATTCTTATTTGATAGAAAAGGCTGTAAGATAGTATAGAATGTGTTTATTATTTTTACTTGATTCTTCTCTTTGTTGATAAAAATCACATGTTTTTAATATCTTCATATGTTTGCAGTCAATAATATCATGTTCTAATTTTATTAAACATAATTTCTATTCAAAAAGTTTTGATTTTAAATTATTATGTATCATATAAAGAACAGGTTCTAATTTATATTATTTAAGGATTTATAATAAATATCTAAGTTTTTTTTTATCAAATTAATGTAGCTTTGAGTTTTGAATTATAAAGAATTTGTTATATTGATAAATCTTCTTTTTTTTATTAATTTAAAAGATAATTAGAGTATTTATTATATATTAAATATTATTGAACTTTAAAATATTATTATATATTCAAATTGAATAATTAAACTATAAATTATATTGTTTAAATTTTCACTTATTTAATTATATTAATAATAAAATTTATGAAATTTTTACTCTATAAATACTATTCAATTAAGTATTATCTCTTTAAAAAATATATAAAAATATAAGATAAAGTAATAATTTTAATAAAATATAATAAATGTTATAATTTAATAAAGTATAATTAAATTTTAAATTAAAGGTAATAATTCGACTATTAAGAGGAGTAATAATAAGTTCATAATTATTAAATAATTTGTCTAATTTTTCTTATGTTTATTCATTTATACTTTGAGAATTATATGCTATTCAATAAATATTATTTATTGTTGTACTTTTTTTGATATATTTCAAAAGACTTTATTGACTAAAACTTCTAATTTTATGTTAGAATGAATTTATTCTAATCTGTATCTAATAATACAATTATATTATAATTTTATTATAATAATTTTATCATAAAAAATATAATAAAATAATTTTACTTAGTTTTAATCAAAGTATTATTTTTTATTTATTTAAATAGTAATTTATTTAAATTCAGAAACTTGTAAATAAATATCATATATATCCTAACTTTAATTAAGTTCTTTTGTCAATAATAGATTTATTCTCTTCTGAATTATAATAAGATTTAGAATTACTATTACTATATAAATATTTATATATATTTTCTTCAATTGGCTCTAATAGTAAATAACTTTCTTTATTAATATAATCAGAAAATTTTTATTACATTTATATAAGATATTCTTACTTATACAATAAAAATAATTTTTATAATACTAATAAAAATAGTGATTATAAATAAGTAAGCTTTTTATAGTTTTAATTATTAACTAATCTATTTATTATTATTTGATTTTACATCTAGGTATATTAGATGCTGAGAAATATACATAAAAAATCATCAAATATTTAAAAATTAAAAAAAGCTATTTTAAATTAAACTTTTTATTTTATTAATTAAGTCATATAAAATACATATATAATATATTAAAATTTTTATAAATATACAATCAGTAATAAATTTTATATTCAGTATTTTATGTAATATTTTCATGTATTAATACAAGTTTTCAATTATAATTAAATATAAAATATTTTAATAATAATCTATTATATTTATTAAACTTGCTTTTTATATTAATAAATATATTTTTAAAATATTATATTAATTACATTTATATTTGTGAAAAATTAATTGATAAAGTATAAAATTTTGGTAAAATTTTAAAAAAATTAATATTTTATATAACTTATAATTAATATTAATTTGATTTTTTTATATAAAAACTTAATTAAAATTCATTAAAAAAAAAGTTTTTTAATATAATAAATAAGTTAAAC